GAAAGGGGGAACCGATTACAAGGATCTACATGTGACCTCCTCCCAGGGGGACGGACAACAGAGAAGTGGGTGAAAGGAAACATTGGACAGTGTAAGACATGAGAAAATATTAATTTAAAAATTATCAACGGTTCATGAGGGAGGTGGGAGGGAGGGGAAAAAATAAGAAGCTGATACCAAGGGCTCAAGTAAAAAGAAAATGTTTTGAGAATGATGATGGCAACAAATGTACAAATGTGGTTGACACAATGGATGTATGTAAGGATTGTGATAAGAATTGTATGAGCCCCCTATTAAAATGATTTAAACAACAAAAAAGAGCTGTAAGAGCTCCCAATAAAATGATTTATAATTTTTTAAAAAGAAATCTTTGGTGTCAGTAATAGTTTGACTTCAAACAATACCACCAATTTTAGCATGTTAAATATTGATATGTAATGCTGAGATAAGGTTATAATGGCTTAATAAAGGAATAGTGTAATGGCTAATAGTTATTATAATTGCATCTACCATATATACTCACGTATAAGCTGACCTGAATATCAGCCAAGGCGCCTAATTTTACCACACAAGCTGCTTAAATAATGTGCTGAAAACTCGGCTTATACACAAGTATATGCAGTATATGGATTCATATTGTACTCTCTTACATATAAAACCCAAGTGTATTTGAACATCACATTATTAAAAATAAATTCTTAATGGTTTGATAATTTTCCTTTGAGAACCACTATTTCTTCTCATTGGAATCACCAGAAGACCATGAATAAAAGAAACTCGATCATTTCGTGAGATTGTCATCTCAAAATTAGCCTTCAAAGCTGGCTGCACCAGAGGAAGAGAACTGACAGCAAGTGAATCTGCTTGGAAGTGGTAATTCCAGTAACATTATTCACCAAGATTCATGCCATAGCTATTCCTAACTTCAATCAGGCAGCCCCCCCCCCCCAAGTACTGAGTGACCCTCTGTGTGCCATGTATTGAGAAGTGGAGAACAAAACATTCAAAGAGTAGTGAATTTCATAGGAGTACTTTGCTTTAGCTAATTATAAGGCCATTATGTTACTTTGAGGGCTAAAATGTGCCTGAATTAAGCCATGATATTTTTAATCACCTCATATGCATGTGAAATTTAGACAATGAATAAGGAAGATCAAAGAATAATTGATATATTTGACTTATAATACTGGCAAGGACTATTAAAAACACCACGGATTACCAGAAGAACAAACAAATCTGTCTTGGAAGAACTGCCAGAGACTGCTTTTTAGAATAGAAGTGAGGATGGTGAGACTTTGTGTCAAGTACTTTGAACATCTTATTAGGAAATACCAGTTCCTGGAAAAGGACATCAAGCTTGGTTGGGTAAAAGTTCATCAAAAAAGAGGAAGACCCTTGTTAAGAGGGATTGACAAACATTGGCTGCAACAATGTGATCAAATATAACAATTGTGGTGATGATGCAGGGGTGGGCAACATTTCTTTCTCTTGTACTTAAGGTTGTTGGGAGTAGAAACCCACTTGAGGCATCAAACAATCCCATAACAAAGATATGGGACTCGATCCTTACTCTAGTAGTAGTAGTAATAGTTTAGTGTGCTAAACTGAAAGAATTTCACATATCTATGCTTATGCAAATCCATTCTGACTCTCAGGGACCCTACAGGACAAGGGAGTGCTGCCCCTGTAGGTTTCTGAGACTAACTTTTTATGGGAGTAGAAAGCTTGCTTCATCATTCTCCCCTGGTGCCATTGCTGGTATCAAACTGCTGACTTTTGTGGTTAACAACCCAAAATACAACTACTAAGACTCCATATGCAGAAAGTCTCTTCAAATTAACTTATACATAGTTACATCTAGGTATATTTTGTTAGGTTTTATGTTAAAATTGTCCTAACTGATTCATCTTCTCCTTTTACTACTCCCTAATTAAACTTCTGTGTTCAAAGGGTTCTCTAGAAAAAAACCAGGGCACTTATGATAATATCTATCTATCGGAGGATAGATATATACAACATGAAGCAATGTAACAGCTAATTAGTCCACACAGCAGTACAGAGGGCTCAGTTCAACTCACTTCCTTGGAGCAATTAATATATACTAGAAGCCCTTCAACTCACGAGGGCTGCTGGGTCAAGGAAGGAGACAGCTTACTCTTCCCTCAGGCAGTGTAGGCAGTCCGTTTACAGGCAGCAAACAGCTGGGTGGGTTACCAATAGTCAGCAGCTCAGGACCTTAGGGAAGCAGGCCTGCATGGAATATCAAACTCAAGCAATACAGGATGACAGGATCCACCAGCCTCAAGCTCAAATGATATGTACACCAGCAGGGTGGCAAAATAGGTCTTGAAGGAACCTCAAGCTCTAGGGACACAATCCATGGGTTGGCTGTCCCACAGGTAGTGTTGCTCACAAGTTGAGGCAGAGAACTAGTTACTGTATATACTTGAGTATAAGCCAACCTGAATATCATCTGAGGCACCTAATTTTACCACAAAAACTGCATTAAAAAATGTGCTGAAAAACTAATTTCTTATACACGAGTATAAGCAGCTGCACACTGGTCTGATCACCAAAGAGCAAGAGAGAGAGTGCAGGCCTTGCTGAGCCATTATCTTTTTGCCCTCCAATCAAACTGACCTTATTAATCCCACATGTACCTATTGGCCAGGTTGGCATAATAAACCTACCCATCACACTCATCATGTATAGTTATAAAGGCTTTATATATAACATTCAGATATTTTAACTATCACAATAAAGCTTCAGATAGCTGTTTGAAGAGTTATCACAAAGCAGTTCAACTTTAAGGTCATTCTTTTAAGATATTTTATTTTTCCATCATCTCATCAAGCACTATTTCAGATTATACCAAAAACAACAATTCAATGCTATCGAATAGATTCTGACCCATAGTGACCTTATAGGACAAAGTAAAACTGCCCTTGTGGGTTTCAAAACAGTAACTCTTTATAGGAGTAGAAAGCCTCATCTTCCTCTGGTAGATCAGCCAGTGGTTTCAAACTGACTTTGCAGTTAGTGGACTAACATGCAACCACTATGCCATTTGAAATTATATGCTTTTGGAGAAGAAAACATTTTACATTTGGGGGCAGCTTTTTCATTTGTTACTATCAACATAACATAGAAAAAGCTTGCTTTCCATCATATATTTTAAGGAAAAGCGCCCTGTCATAACATGTTTATCACAAGTCAGAGAGTTGCAGATCTTAAGGGTGTGTTAATCTCCAATCATTTTCCAAGCTTTAGAGGTGAAAGGCCATCACAGGATATATCAGAATGCCTGACACCACACTCCCATAAGCCTAGTCAGAATCACAGACCTGCATTCTCATCTTATCTTCTGTAGTCTGCAGCTAAAATCCTAACCAAGCCTCTCTCTCATTCTGTTCTATATGTCAAAAGTCTGATAAAATCTGCTAAGCTGTGTGTGTATGTGTATATTTTTTAATCAAAGCATTCAACAGAATTGAAGTATTTTTTAAAAGTACAATGCTTTTTGAAGGACGTGGCAATAAGACAACCAACTCTACTGCTTTCTGTTCTATACTGCTAGGTTCCCATGCCTTCTCAAAGGAGGTCCATCTTGAGTCAGAAGTGGGTATAGGCTAGAGATATGAAGGAAAGCTGAAATGAGAACATGAGCTACTTTATCTCATGACCATTTCTAATCTCTTGGGAGAATTTTAGCCAATGTACTTATCTTCTTCCTGCAAGCTTCCTTTTCTTCTATTCTTGTCTCCTTCCCTCCACTCCAGCTATTTTTTAAATGCCCTTTATTATTCCTCATAGAACAAGCATTGAGTGACTGACTTTTGTCCTCTGATATTTATGAAGAATGGGTTAGAAGTGTGCAGAACATGAAACGAGCTTATTGTTTACTCAAACCATTTTACCAGCTACTTCTCTTTTTTAGGTAATGGATTGTGTGTGTGTGTGTGTGTGTGTGTGTGTGTGTGTGTGTGTTAACCCCACGAGTTTAGGTTGCTATAAAATGTAAGACATTTGTTTATAGCATTATTATTAAGGTTGAAGAGGTTACATCAAAATTATGTCTGAATTATGGTTCTTTAATCTCTTATTTCTTTCTAGGACAGGAGCGGTTTGGCAACATGACCCGAGTATATTATAAAGAAGCTGTTGGGGCTTTCATAGTCTTCGATATATCAAGAGGTTCCACATTTGAGGCGGTCTTAAAATGGAAGAGTGATCTTGATAGTAAGGTCCATCTTCCAAATGGCAGCCCTATTCCAGCTGTCCTCCTCGCTAACAAATGTGACCAGAAAAATGACGACCATAACCCTTCACAGATAGACCAGTTCTGCAAACAACATGGCTTCAGTGGATGGTTTGAAACTTCTGCAAAGGTGAGATGTGATTTGCTTTCTGAACCTGCTCTGCTGTTTAGATCTTAAACTCGAGCTCTAGTTATAAGATGCTCAAAGGATTTATTTGGGTGGTTTCTGGAAGCCTAGAAAAAGTGAAAACTTTGCATGGCTAATTGATTGCTTCTGTCAGTCTGCAATAGCGGTGCTATCAAAATTGACCAAAGGGAAGGGCCATAGCGGGGGGAAGAGTTTTGAAAAAATTATTAATAAAATAAAAATGGGCTACGTAGAGCGGAGAAGAAAAATGACATTTTCTGTGAGTTTGAGTCTTTAAATGATACCCTGATGATACTTGAGTTGGCAAGGGTGAAATGCCTGTGAAACACAAATGTTTTGATTTTCACAGTGGCTTAAAGTAACCAGGGGTATGTCTGGTGAAGATGTAGATCCCTTGTAGGGATAATGTGAAGGCCTGAGAGAAGACTTATTCAAATGATACTTAAAAGAGTTTTAGATTAACTGAGTATGAAAGAATAGAGCAAGGGGAAAGCATTAACATTTGTGACATCATTCTTCATGAATAACAATGAAGACTCTTTGTTTTGTTTTTCTGTTCTTTATGATAACTATATAAAATGTTTTTTCAAAGGAAGGGGGTAAAAAAGAAGATTTTTTGATTCTGACCTGGAAATAGGACACTTATGTTGATTATCAAAAATCTTAATAGTCTAGATATATTAAAAAGCAGTGCTAACAATCGCAAGTACAAAACACCAGGGAATGTTTGTGTTTGTGTTTCAAGAAATTTCAAAGAATAAAGTCAAAGAACAGTCAGCCTTTTTAAAGCATGATTAAAGATATAGGAAATTTTATGGTGGCAAAAAACCCTCAGCCCTAAGTATAGTATCATCTTAATACAATTCTGACTTTTTGTAGTTTTCTGTTCTGTTTGTGTTTTTAACTTACATATTTATGTTGTTAGAACCATTGAGTAAAATTCCACCTCACTGATTGTGACCCTATAGCACAAAGTAGAACTGTGTTATAGAATTTTCAAGGCTGTACATTTTCACAGAAGTAAACTGTCACATGGTTATCCTATAGCCTGACTGGTGGTTTTGAATGTCTGACTTTTTGGGTAACAGCTGTGTACTATAACCACCAGGAATCCCTCACGTATAGGATAGGTATACATATACATATAGAATGAATGCCTTTGATCAATTGCACTTTGTGGTGATGCCATATGTACAGAGCAGAATTGCACTTTTGAGGATTGTCATCGTTAGGATCCCATAGAAACCTTTCTTCTGAGGTGCCTCTAGGTGAGTTTGAACTGCCACCTACCACTTTCTTCATCTGCCCTGCCAACTTATTCTGAACTTACACCAGAGATGCACCCTCAAAGTAAGACTATTTAGTGCCCTTGAAGATCAGGATCATGAAAGAAAAGCTATGAGTGACAGCACACATACAAATTCAGTTCCAGAAAGATGGAGAACAGTGATGGAGTAAGAGGGTTTTCTAGAAACAGGTGCCTGCTCCTAAGATAAAGCCTATTTGTTTCAATAAATACATTCCAGCATCTTAAAAATTAGCCTTACAGTTAGTTCAGTGGACCAATGGGGCATCTGAACATTAGTCTACTACAGAGACCAGCTGTAGTATTAAATTTAAAAAATGGCGCGGGGGAGTGGAGGGCCAGCCCCCACCCGCTGCTACTAATACTGCTCAACGGGTTCAGTAATACTACTTCTGGGTTCAGTAATGCACAATTGTACGGTTGAGATATATAAGCATTATATTAAAGTTATCGAGAGCATGAGAGATATTACAATAATACAGTCAGACACGTTACATGATAGCATTGCTCACCTCAGCCCAGCTTGGTGGTCCACGTGGAGAGAGGGGGAAGGGAAGGAAGGGAAGGGAACAAGGGAGAGAGGAGTGACCAGGGAGTGAGCAGCAAGGAGCTCAGAGTCAGAGAGACCTATCTTGCTGACTCACACCTATATACCTTTTGGGGGCACGCCAGCCCACACTAATTATAGGTAGAGACATACGTCACAGGGAGGAGCTGCACTATAGGTTACACAGCAATGAGAGGGTGGTCTAGGGGGTGGTCTCTGGGTCTCCATAGGAACATTGTCAGTAGGGTGCAAGCCCTTCCTACAGGAGCCTGTCCATTGTCCCCAGAGGCAGGGAGCAGGCCCACCCGTGGTGGGATGAGACAACAGTCTGGCATCTGATTGCCTTCAGGGGAGGGGATGCCTGCACATCTGACCTCCCCACACAACCAGCAGAAACAGATGGTGCCTGGCAGCCACTACCAACTCTCTGAAAGGGATCTCATTAGAAGGTCCTAGGTAGAGTGGGGGTAGAGTATGGAACAAATGATAAATGATAAAGCAGATCAGACGTTCTGGCCTGATAGAGTCAGGTGGAACTGCTGAGACATTCTGGCCCTCTGTCACCTTTCATTTCTGGAACTGAAGTCACCCTTGTGTCTCAGTTTTCAGCCAAACAATCAGCAGGTCTGTAAGGGAACAGCAACACTAGTGAGGTATGCAGGCCGTAGTATAGTCAACCACCTGAGATGAAAAGGGCAGCGTTTAGCCAAGGACAAACTTTAGAGGGTAAGGAAAGAAGGAAGCATGAAACAGGGAACACAGGGAGGAAGTGAGACAAGTGATGCTAAGTTGAGGGTATTGCAATGAAAGAAATGAAACAAAATATGGATGAATTGTTGAATGTATGATCTGATAATCTGCTCTGTAAACTTTAACTCAATTCACAATAAAAAGGTAAAAAAAAAATCATAGCCTCTCAGTACAAAACCTCTACCCCACACAAGCTTTCCCTCCATGCTCCATTCCCATCCCCCAACCCCCGCCCCAAAGTTTACTCCCTAAGCCACCCTGTTCCAACTCCCTGGAGGCTAATACTAAAACAAAAAACAATAAATCCGGATAGTTTCACATACTCAAGGCTTACAAAGAAGTGAGTCAAGCATATCCATGTATGCTAATGTTCATTGCAGCTTTATTCGTAATAGTCAAAAGGTGGATGCAACCTGCATGCTCACAAACAGATGAATAGATAAACAAAATGTGGTGGTGTAGACATACAAAGGAATGAAGTGTGAACACATAATCGAACATGGCTAAAACTTAGCAATGCTAAGTAAACTAAGGCATCCAAAAGCATAAATTCTATGTGATCCACTTACATGAAATATCAAGAATAGGCAAATGCATAGTGACAAAAGTTTCTCAGTAATTAATTACCAGGAAGCAGAGGCCAAGGAGTAGCCCCATGGCATAGTGGTTATGTGTTGGGTTGCTAGCTGCAAGGTCAGCAGTTCGAACCAGCTGCTCCATGGGAGAAAGACAAGGCTTTCGACATCTGTAAAGAGTTACATACTCAGAGACTCACAGGGTTAATTCTCTCCTGTCCTACATGGTCACTATGAGTTGGCCTGGACTCAATGGTATTGAGTTTGGTGTTTAGATTTAGGGGGTCAGGGGAATAGGAGGGATTGTTGGTGAGGTGCTGCATATCTTTGGGGATAATGAGAGCTTCTTGGAAGTAGATAATGGCGATGGCTATACATTGTGTGGATGTAATTAATGTCACTGAGTAGTATACTTAAAATTATTAAAATGGTAAAAGAAAATCATATTTTACCACAATAAAAATTTAAAAGTAGTTTAATAAATAAATAGTAGTAGAGGAGGAGAGATGAAGTTCAGAAATGCTGCCTACATACTAAGCCAAACCAGAGCAAAGATATTGTAGCAGAAAAGGTTTCTTCGGGCAGGACTTTCTCTGGACAGCTGTGCCCTCAGTGTGCTCTGTACATCTCTAGTGATGTGCGTTTGCTCCTCACCTCCTTGACAGAGGATCATTGGCACAATAAACCAAAAAACTCATTGTCATTGAGTCGATTCTGAGTCGGTGATCTTATGAGGCCGAGTAGAATGGCCGTCTAGGGTTGCCAAGGCTGTACTCTGTTCAGAAGCAGACTGTCACCTCTTTCTCCCGCCAAAGAATTGGTGAGTTCAGCCCTCTGACCATTCAGTTAGCAGTGCAGTCCATCACCGCTGTACCTCCAGACTTCCTTAACTGACACCGGACTATGAGTTATCTTCCTGGCGGTATTGATATTGCATGTCCGTTATCTAAGATGTTATCACTGGGGGGAATGTGAGGGTACCTAGAATTTTTAAAATATTATCTGTGGACCCTTTTTATAAATTTGATGTTATTTAAAAATCCAAAGTTAACTTTAAAAATCACTATTATTATTAGGTCACTTATTGAGTGTGTAGAGTCACACAGATGTTTCACGGCTGGTGCTTGCTTAGGGTACCCTTCGTGGACTCACGTTGTTTCAGGTTAACTTACACTCATGTGTCTGCAGAGATGGAGGGATGCCATGGTGCATATATTCTATTTGAATGTGGGTTTAGCCCTTTAACTGCTTTTTATGTCTTCCTCATATTTCTCTAATACTTGAGTTCACATTACAGGACAGGAGTTTCTCAGTCATTCATGGGAGTGGCACCACAGCAGGGTAAGAGTTTGCTCTCGTCCATCTAGATAGCGCAATAGGCAGCCCGCGCAGCACTGGTAAGCATGGGGCTGCTAACCACAAAATTGGTGGTTGCAACTTACCAGCCAGTCCATTGAGAAATGGGGGCTATATTTACAGCTTCAAAACCCCAATGTGGTCGTTCATTCTCTGAATTTGGACTGCTATGAGTTGGAACCGACTTGATGGCGGTGGGTTGGTTGGGTGTTTTAGATAGCTTATTAATGCTCAGTGACAGAATTTTAAAGTAGAGACATCAAAAAGAATGGAACTTTATAAAGAAGACTCCATTGCCCCATTATCTAATGGCATTGGGCTCTTAGGGACGAGACACTTAGCATTAGACAAGGAGATGATAGGGATGTACTTCCATGCCAGTTGTTTTGTCTTAGTTCCCACTGTAACACTTAATGCTTTCTTCGAGGGATTCGTGCTGATTGTGTCGCTCATTTCTCCATTACAGGATAACATAAACATAGAGGAAGCAGCCCGATTCCTGGTAGAGAATATACTTGCAAACCACCAAAGCTTTCCTAATGAAGAAATTGACCTGGGCACAGTTAAACTGGATCAGGACACCTTGAGAGCAGAGAGCAAATCTCAGTGTTGCTAACAGTGCTCTTGTTTCGATCACGCCCCGCACAGCCTGACTCCATTCCAAGCAGACTCCAGTGAAGGGAGTCCCACTGACATGCTGCCTTGTGAGTCTTCACACAGAGACCATTCCAATGCCAGCATGCTCCAGCCTCCGCCAGTGGAGAACCCCTCCTAGAGGCTCTGCAGCTGCACAGAAAGAACACTGAGGCTTTGATGGTTGCCATGCTATTGAGGCTAATGTTTACATTTTGTTTGCCAGCTTTTAAAGTGCACATCCTCAGGATTTGGTTAGACTTCCAAGTTGTAGCCTTGAGAGTAAGCAATGGGGGTGGTAATAAAATGTGCTATTTTCTGGTGATTTCATGAGTGTTATTGTCCCACCTTTTAGTAGAGCGATGTGAGTTATGTTTGGACATTGCTAGAAGGAGCCTGATGTTCCTGTTCTGCATTTTTTTTCCATTTAAAAATGTTGGTGTTTCCTGTAAAATTGTTACCCTAACTTGTTATGGATGTCATCTTCTGCATCTGGTTGTTATTGCTATGGCAAAATATGGATCAACATTTTTTCTTCTTTCTCCCTAGTTCTTATATCTCTCTCCTTACTGTGCATTTATAACTGATAATACTAACTAGGGTCTGTTTTTTAAATTTGTAGTAGTAGTGGTCAAGGAGAGAATTTGTATCAAAGCATATACAATGAAGTTTGAAATTCTGTAGTATGAATTGTAGTAGAAACAAGCCCATGTATCCTTTTTTGTAAGGTATTGAGCATTTAACAGTAATACCTGAGAAATTTAATGCAGGCTCACAACAACTGCATTACCATTGTAGCCAAATTTTGGGGGGAAAAATAAGTGTTTGGACTGAATCCTTTGCCTTGAATTAATACAGTTCCAGATAGGAAAACAGGCATGTAATTTTCTTCCTTAGGAAACTTTGTATTTACTCACTTTTGCCTCCTATTTTCATGGGGTTACACGATACATGTGAAAGGTTGAATTTCTTCCCTTCTGAACAATTTCAAAGACCTTTTGAAATAATCCAAAGCTAATGCAAAATGAGACATTGACTGTTTTTCTATATATTATATGTGAACTTGGCTAGAAGAGATCCGTGTATTCTCTGAGAGGAGAGATTGAAAATAGAATTCATGCAATTGTATTTGCTCTAGCGGTGTATCCTAGTAATAAATAGTAATTGCCATGGCTTATAACCTAGTCCTCTCTTCTCACATTGTACCTGAGGCTCACCTAAAAGTGGCAACTGAGTTAATATGTTATATGGTGAAGTAAGCAAGTCCTTTGACCTCTCTAGACATACATTCTATATTGAATCAACTTTTTTTTTTTTTAGGTTAAAGAAGTAGAAAGAAGACTTACTTAAATAACACAGTTAAAAACAGAACTCCTTGTGAATTTTCTGTTAGATCTTACTTCCTAAGAAACACAAATGGCATACTTATTTTTTTTTCTTAGACTAGGTTTAAGGTATATTTTTTAAACTTTTTTTTTATATTCCACAGTGCAGTTGTCTAAGTAGTATAAAAATTTGGTGTCATTTTTTTAAGTTACAAATAAAAAGCATATTCTAGGACGTCTCAGAATGATACTGAACTCTCCTTGGGATGTTTTTTTAATGTATCGATTTTAATCTTTTCAAGAAAGCTAGTATGTTTCATTGAGCAATGATTTATAATGAAGGGCATGTACTTTCTTTGCTCATTGTTTCTATATTTGTTATGTGAGCTTAGGTTCATCGTAAGGATTAACACTGCTTTAAAAATGGTTTTTCTCTAAGCATTCAGGATTCTATATGCCAGGATGTGTAATAACTTACTATATTTACTATTTCCTAGAATTATAAATAATTATAACTGAGTAAATATGTTTTTTTTAATCCCTAAATTCTAAGAGTTTATTTTTGTAACTTAAACACAAAATTTGAATTTAGGCTAAGCTATGTCAGTTGTGAAAGAATTCTAGTTTATTCACTTTAAAAAAACAACTGGCTACTACTGTATACATATATCTACATGTCTATGTGTACTAGCTAAGACACTGGTAACACAATGTAGTGTGCCTGATAAAGTGCAAAGGATATGTATCTCCTCTCTGTTGGAGTCTTGGGCACAAGGACATTGCCAGTGTGCTTATCAGCTATGTATCCAGGTCGCTTGCCCGTCCTTGCCCACAACCATTGCGCTGATTGCGCCCATAGCTGCAGTCGCTGGGTTACTCCCTCTCACTGAGGGCGATTCTCTTTTGCACTGCCCCTCCACTTTAACCTACACAGTGTCTTTCTTCAGGGACTTCTCCTTCCTGACGGTTTGCTCAGAATCCTTGAGATGTGCACAGCTTCACTTCTTAGGAGCATTTTGGGCAAAGCAGTGTGACACCTGACTGTACAGATTCCATGGAGGTGTGTGTTTCTGGCAGACTGGGCTAATCCACGAATAGTAGTTCTGACTCTGGCTCGCCACGAGGTAGACTTTGCCAAATCTCTATCACCGTTCCCCCAAATGATCCAATATGAAAATGAAAAAGTTACAAAAGCTATAGCTTGCATGGAAATATTTTTTACACTGTGCTAAGAAAACACCCTCTAAATGATCAAAAACCAAAGAGGAAAATATAATTTGACTGTAGCAAAATATTTTGTACAGCAATATATCAAAAAGTTATGGCAAGAAATAGACAAAAGAAAATATTTTCAACCCATTTCGTTCTAGGGGCTTACTATGTAGGATAATATGAGGATGCTATAAAAAGTTCGTGAAAGATTACATTTGTTAATTCCATTTTTGATGGACCTTTTAGAACCCCCTCATACAAAACTCATGAGGCAATGAGTAAAATTGTCAACTGATAAAAAACAGCATTTTACAAAACTGGAAAAAGTATAAAGATACTTAAACACAAGTTGTGTATGCTTGGTTATATCTGCGATGTTGGTGAGCATAGAAGAAAAGTATTGTTAGGTGCTGTTAAGTTGGGTCTGGCGCATAGAGACTGCATGTACAAAAGAATGAAGCATTGCTCAGTCTTGCACCATCCCCGGAATCGTCACGTTCGAGCCCACTGTGGCAGCCACTGGGTCAATCCAGCTCATGAAGGGACGTCCTCTTTTTTGCTGACCTTTTATTTTACCAATCGTGGTGCCCTTTTCTGCGGCTGGTCTCTCTTCATCACCTGTCCGCAGGATGTGAGGCTCACTTCTAGGGAGCCCGCTGGGTGCACTTCTTCTAAGACAGACTTGTTTGTTCTTCTGGCCGTCCAGGACACTGAATGTTCTTCACGCCTTAGGAAAGCAGATATACGTGATCTTCTGTGACACTATTTATTTTAAGGAGTATCTCCAAGTTTGTTTCTAAAATTGCTCTTTCCATTGCTATTCCTTGTGACACTAAGAGGAAGTAGTCAGCCCGACATAAACATTTGCATATGAATACACGGACACACAGAGAGACTTGTTGAAGGCAGCATTGCTTGGGCAACAATTCTTGAAAAATGCTAAAAAGAAATCTAAATAGACACTGTATAACCTTACTGGAAAATACTATGCAGTAGTACCAAACCAAAACCAATCACACTGGCATCGAGTCAGTGCTGCCTCAAGTGGCCCTATGCCAGGGTAGAACTGCCCCATGAGTTTCTGAGACTAACTCTTAATAGGAGTAGAATGCCATGTCTTTCTCACAGAAAAATGTAGTAGTACAGTAATATCTATATAGAAATAAATGTTCAGAGTATAAAGGTTTTATGAATCCTCTAAAGAGCCCTGATGGCATGGTGAGTTAGGCATTGGGCTGCTAACCAAAGGCGTCAATTCAGGCCCACCAGTCCCTCTGCCACAGTTGAAGCTATCTGCTTCCATCAAGAGTTACAGCCTCAGAAATACTTGGGGCATTTCTCCCTCCACTGGCAGTGGGGTGTAATTCGGTTGTTTGATAGTCATCAGAGAAGATGCTTACCAAATTCCAGACACTTCCCTCAGAGAAGGGTCTAGAATTGGGGTTGTTGGCCAAGACAGATTAGTTTCTAAGAAAATGCTTCCATGTTTATTAAACTTCTTTTCCTTGCATGTGTTATTTAACACCAACATAGTTGCTACACTATCATTGGAATAAAAGAACCAAAATGATGTAGAAAATAAAAACTTGACTTTGTACTACATTTAATATGTCATCTATGATCTTGTTCTCATTTCTTTCATGTATAGGCTTAGTTTTTAAACTTACACTATTTTGTACTATTAGTGAAAAACAAATCCACTGCCATAGAGTTTATTCGAACGCATGATGACCCTATAGGACAAGATAGAACTGCCCCTGTGTGTATCTGAAACTGAAACTGTTTATAAGAGTAGAAAGC